GTGTTCAAACATGGAACACTGTTGCCACTCTGTATTGACCTTTGATATGACATGGCTAGATAATCAATATATTCAAATCGGATACCATGATTTTATTGCTAACTCCTGCCTACCTGACTAATCTCAGATTGTCAACAACAGAAAAGAAGAAACATATTAAGTGATGCCAAGATCACCGAAAGACTGTGATGGAATGACAGTCTTGTAGATATTGTTAGGGTGCTCTCAGTCAGAGAGAATGATGTTTTGGTCCTGAAACCATGCCTGACCCCATGTCCATTATTTAACGAAAACTTAGCAGTAGTTGTATGAATTTTTTTTTTTTTTTTCTCTGAAGGCTTTAATTTTACAACTGAAGACTGGAAATTAACAAAAGTTTTCTTTCCTCCAATCAAATTTTAATTTTTTTTTTTTTTTTAAAAACTTTAATGAAAAATGTCACTATTTCTCCTTGTATTTCCTCTATATCAATATTACTGTACGATGTCTCATCACACACTCGAGAACAGTCATTGATTTTTTTTCTGCCTTTATCAGCCTTGTGATTGTAGTGATACTCTGACAACAGGAATTTCCAAGGTGTTGGTTAAGCAACAGTTAGTGAGTTAATGCTCTCCTATTTGCAAAGCTGAATGATTGCAAATTATTAAAAATTATGGCAACTTTTAAATAAATGAGAAAAATAGAAAAAAATTGTGAACATTATGTTCATATCAGTTGTGGACTGGGGCAGGAATTGGCTGATTAACTTTAATGCCTCAAAAACAAAACTGCTCTATATTACTCACCAGAGAGAACCATCCGTGCCTCCCATTAGAATGTCTGATGCTCAACTCCATGAGACCACCTCTTTGCGACTGCTCAGTCTCATTGTCTGCTGAACTGAGATGGAACAAATACATTGTGTCAATAGGTTCGTCCACCGCAAGGAAAGTTGGCCAGGAAATTTTTCTTGCCAGAGTCAATCATTCAAATCTACAAATCAACCATTTGCCCTTGCATGCAGTATTGTATATGGTTTGGAGCCGGTTCTGTTTGTATCAAGGTCATTGATAAAATCCAAAGACAGATATGCAATGTAATTGGCTCTGATCTGGCATCTTGCCTGCAGTCACTCTCTCACGTACATGCCATTGCCTCCCTCTGTCTTTTTCACAAATACTTTCACGGTAACTGCT